TCAGCCATTGATTTGCATATTAGCCTTTTATTATATAGAACTAGAGGTCCAATGCACGAAATTTGTGCAAGAGTAGGCCTTTCTTCCCCTGGCCACCAGCACCAGCTTCCCTCTGGCACCCAAGACCTGGGCTTTCCTCCAGCTGCAGCAGGCCTCCCTTGCAGCACTGGCTTTGTCCAGAAGGTTGTCTGATCTAATCAGCATAGTATGCTTTTATTATTATAGATTACATATAAAAAGACAATCAAAATCCCTCACATTTCATTTTCCTAAAACCCCAGAGGACCACACTATCACTTTAGGCCCAAATAGTTAAAAAAAAAAAAAAAAAAAAAAAAAAAAAAAAAAAAACCTGGGTATTGTTCAGGACCTGCTTTCCTAACACACTGCACTTCTGCCAGCCAGGACCCTGCACACACACACACACACACACACACACACTCCACAGGCCAAAATACCAAAATATATTTAATAAGTGTCACCTTTATAAATAACATAACAAAACATCCTATGCACATCTAGATGGCTTTATGTTCATTATATTATTTCCTAAGAATAAATATTCTAGTTAATAAAACTGCTGGGGAAAGGGGACTGACCACTTAAAATTTTGACACACAAAACTTTTCTGGAGAACAATTAATTAATTATAACATTTTGCTCTACGGAGAGCAAAAAAACCATAATAGCCAACACTGATATTTTGTTTACTATGTGCCAGGCCCTATTCTAAGCACTTTCCATATATTAACTTACTTTAATTTCTCAAAAACCATAGAAGATAGAAATTATCAATACTACCAATGGGTGTTGTCAAACTTACCCTTGATAATATGATGAGCATAAGGGGATCTCCTTTTAGCTAAATTTCTTTATTAGTAAAACTTGAGTTTTTTACAGTAGCCACTTGATCTGCATATTTATTGTACATGCTTTGCTCATATTGCAATAGGGATGCTGATCCTTTTTTTATTGTTTTTTTAAAAGCTCTTTGCATATTGACAATTAAGCTCATACAGGTACATTTTTTTTTATATTATTTTCTCCCATTGTTTCTTAAACTCACAGAATATTTTGTCAAAGAGAGTTTTCTTTAATTCTTATGTTGTTAAATCTGTCAATATTTTTTAAGGTGTCTGGCTTGGAATTATAATAACAGATTAAATCAGTGGTTTTTCAAAGTTTTAGGTCCTTGGAGAGCATCCTTCCTAGGTAATCTTCCAGACAAAACACTGAGGGCCACCCTGCTCTGGCTGAAATGGTTGTGGAACAGGTGGTGTCCTCCACCACTCCCACCTGCCCCCAGGCAGCCTCAGGAGACATCCAAGCACTCCATGCAACCACCACTGCCAGCTAACAGAACTGTTAAGATCCCTCCCAATTCTATGTGCACTGGAGGAGTAGGAAACATTCTAAGAATGACAGAGCTACTTCCCAGAGGCTACTGCAACTCTGTCAACTAGGACAGCTCCAACAGCAGTGCCCACAACACTGAACCCAGAAAGTATCCCAAACTGTCATATTCTCAAAGAGGCTGTGCTCTCCCAAAGGGCTCACCTACAATGAACTTCAACTTTAAGACCACCACTGGCCTGGAAGCAGAGGCAGGAAGAGGGGACTAGCATTTGGGTGCCAGTTGTACTTTCACCTCTATCTCAGCTCTCTCCTCTGCAAACTGAGTATAGAATAGGAGCCACGTCAGGCTGTGGGGAGAGAAAGGGAGCCTCTGGCATGTGGCCCAAGTAAGTGCTCATTAAATGCTATCCGCTGGCTGTGTAAGGGTAACACTCGCCTCCCAGGAGGGACATTCTGGCTTCTGCATGGGCTGATACAGATGCTGATCTGTCCCCGTGGTTCTATGAGAGGAGATAGTGGAGAAAACCTATGTAGGGCCCTGGACCTTCCTTTGAGAAAGTAAGAAAGAGGCATGTCAGAAAAGGCAGGCAGCAGAGAGACCCTGAGCAGCTGCAGATGCCACAGCCCACGCTGCACCCCATACAAGCCCCACCTAGCCCTTCTCTTCACATAAGCTCAAGAGATGATAAACATGACCTTACAAAAAGAACTCACAATTCTTACTTCAGTGACCATTTTCCCTAAAAGAATCGCTCTATAAACATACTTACTAATGCTAAAATGCGGCATCACTTTTGACAGGGGGCCCCTCTTCTGACTTGAACCAGCAGACACTGTACCTTTCTCTAAAGTCAAGGCCAAAAGCGCTGAGCCCATGCAGTTCACAGCATATGCTGACCATCTGAGATTGAAACAAAAACCCCTTCCAAACTTGATCCCTGACACCCACCCCAGGATCAAGGTGGGGCAGCAACCAATGGGGCAGGGACTTGCCCTCTGACTAGAACAGCAAGGACTGGGGCCCAGCTTCACAGGCTGAAGAACCAAGTTCCAAATCCAAAGCTCCCACCAAAACCAGGTACCCTTTTCCTCTGTAATTGATTCTGGTCCAGGGACAGGAAGCCCAGCACCGCCTGTCGCCTGAGGCAGCCGAGCACCAGCAGTTGTCCCCCCTTCCCTGTGTCTGGCTCACTCCCTACATCAGGTATTAATCTATTACTCATGGCAGCTTCTGAGCCATGAAAGCCCAGCCGTTTCCAATAGAGAACGGTATGGACGCATTCTACAGGAGTGATGAAATGTTTCTTCTGCTCCGGCAATTAAGACAGCACAAAGTCCCCTTTCCTCTGGTGCCACCCCCAACATCAAAGGATGAGAATTCAAAGCCGTTCATGCTGCATTGAAACCTCACAATGAAGCTGGAAAATGGAAGTCGATTACTGGGCATAAATATGCAGTGGTTAAAAGGAAAGGATTATAACAAAATTAAACTGCAGCAACCCCACAATGTGTGGAAACTTCCAGAACTAGAGTCTTCCTGGTAAACATAATGAGGGGCATCCTATCCTCACAAAGCAGGTTCCAACCACCGAAAATCAAGACCCACACTCCAGCTGCACATGGCCAGGATGCCATGTTCCATTGATCCCACTATAATAACAGCCCCCAAGGCCTCGGAGAGCATGGCATTTGGAGATTTTTACTTTGCACGGCTGAGAAGCTGCGACCACTGAACATTCTCTCTGGCTCAGGCCACATCTGTCCTTGGTCCCTAGGCCTTCTAGTCCGACAAGCCATCCTCAAGTCATCCACCCCACCCCCAACCCCTGGCACTCATGGTGCCTGCACCCCTGGCAGGAGAAAGAACCCTAAAGAGGGCAGTGTTACATCTGCCTGCTGTGGAAGCCCTGCTTATTTTCTGACTGATCGTTGTTCCTTTTAGGAAGGCATTTGATCTTTAAAATAAAAGCCCAGATCGCTGTGGAAGTCTTACAATGTGTCAGGGTGTGTGTGTTTTTAAAGCAGGAAAACACTTTCCTCCCACACAAATGTGAGTTCTAGGGCAAGATGCCACAGACCCAAGTGAGTAGACTATCTGGGAAAGCTTGATCAGTCTTAAAAATAAGTAATTGAACACAGATTTTAGGATTCTCAGGAGCTACCCAGAAAAAGAAAAAAAATCAAATCTACATATTTTCAATATCCAAAACTCCATTCTGAAGGAACTTCTAGCAGGGTGGCATTTTGCATTTCCAAAGATAATAGAGTAATTGTGTTGCCATAGTTACTGCAAAATTCTGCAATAACTTTTGTTGCTTTGTAAATGCTGTAGTGTATATTTGTGTACAAGCAGCTTAGTTTTCTTAATTCAATGTCTCTCCCTCTTCCGTCTCCATCACCACCTTTCCTGGCTGTACTGTGAAACCACCACGATCATAGCACCGCCCCTCACAAAATGCACATAATTATCAGAAGCAATTAAAACTCCAGGTAACCGTGACCATGCTACAAAAGAAAAAGTGAAACCAGGCCAAGGTACAGACCCACTGGCACTCCCCCAGGCTTGCTGGGCGGGCTCTGGGCGAGGGATGTTTGCATGTTTACTCCCAGGCCTTCCATGCTTAGGTGGTTTGTGGGAATAAACAGAAAAGCCGGAGTGGAGAAAAGAGGAAGCGAAGTAACTACCAGGCCCTTTCCTCCCTCGGCTAGGGCAAGGCAGCAGCGCTGCTCTCAGCAAGCAATTAGGTAAGTCTCTACAGTCATGCAATTAGGATTTAGTTAAGAAAGTCATTAGTTTTAAAATAACTTAAGTTTAATTTCTGCAACGCTTTATTTGAAAATTGTGTCACAGCAGGTCAATTTACAGCATGCAATAAAACAAAAAACACTTATATTAGCTGCTGCGAGTTATTACAAATTTCTGATGTGCACTAAATGAGTACACTGGGTTCCACCCCCGGCCTTTCCAACAGATCCGCACGGTCTCCCGCTGTAATAGTGTCAAATAATTCAACGATAAATGTAAATACGAGATAATTTGCTTATAATGCCATGGTGTGTTTTTACAACGCCGGGAGACGCGGCTCACATCCTCGGGGCAGGACCAGCCACACCTCGGCCTGTGGAAACCCTGCAGGCACCCAGGCAGGGTCGTGGGCAGCACCCGTAACCCCGTCGCGGGCCGGGGCGCACCCACAAGGAGCGACGGCGCACCCCACGCCGCGAGCCCCGGGAGGGACGGTTTTCTGCAAACTCACAGCCCTGACAAAGTTACATAAAAGGCGCCCGCCGGGCTCCAGGAGCCCCCGGCCCACCTGCTGGGGACTCGGCCTGGCCCGAGCGACAGACACGCCGCGCGACCCCGGAGGCGAGCGGCCGTCCTGGCCGCTCCCGGCCCCGGCGGAGGGCCGTCGTTTTGCTTCGGCTGCAAGGAAGGTCCCGACCGGCTGCCGCTCCCGCCCGGGAACCCTCAAGCTAGGCGGCGCGCGCGGCCTGGGTGCCCGGGTCCGGGCCGGGCTGGGCCGGGGGCGCGGACCGACGTCCACCTGCCGGACAGGGCGGCGGGCCGAGGGCGTGGAGGCCAGCGGCCTGCTGACGGCGGCGGACAATGGCCCGCGGGCCAGGCCGGACCGGGCTGCGCTTACCGCGGCGGCAGGCAGGGAGACGGCGGCGGCGGCGGCGGCGGCGGCGGCGGCGGCGGGCACTCCGAGCCGCATCTCCTCAGCCTGCACCGCCACCACCACCACTGGCGGCGGGCAGGCGGGCAGGCGCTCGGGCGGCGGCGACAGCACGGACGCGGCCACGGCGCGCCGGGCCCAGGCGGCTAAGGCGGCGGCGCGGGCGGACGGGCGGCGGGCGGGCGCGCGGGCTCGAGCGCGGGCGGTGGCGGGGACAGTGCACCGCGGCGGCGGCCCCACAACCTCCCCTCCTCATTCACAAAAAATTGACCCACGTTGAACCATGATGCTGCTCCCCCCACCAGCACAGAGCCAGGCGCTGATAGGTTAGCTCTGACGCCCGTCAGCCGCCAAGGCCCTGCCCCCCCAGCCGAAAGTTCTGCAGCCATTGGCTGCGGCATCTTTGCATCGCCTCCCTCCCGGGCTCCTCCCTCCTGCCTGGTTTCTAATGAAGAGCTCGTCAATTACGGTTCAGCCCCGCCCCTCTCCCCGCCCTTCCCAAGCACCCGGCTGTCCTTTCATTGGTCCGCTGGCAGCCGAAGTGCAGCCCCGTCTGTTCCCGCCCCTCGTCCGGCAGAGGCCAACGGCCCGGCCAGACGCCCTACGAACAGCAGAGAGGCTCCACCCCTGCCCGCCTTCCCGCACACGTCCTGAACCCCGTTGGCTGCCGAAGCTGCCAATCTCAGGGGGCGGGGCGACCAAAGGACGCTACGGGCTCCAGCCCCTGGGTGCTTCGCCGTTGGGAAGGTGCACGGCGCGGGAAGTGACTGAAAACTCGGCCCCTGGCCTTGGTCTGCCCGTCTTGGCAGCCCCGTGCTGGCCCAGCGGTCAAGAGCGCGTGCCTGCGCGCTTAGCGGGCGCATGCCGGGGCTGGGACTGAAGCGGGGTGCCTGCGGGGCCTGGCCATAGCCTCCATCTTGGACACTGGCAGCGGTCACGTGTTGCTGCGTGCGCCCAGATTCGCTGGGGCTGTGCGAAGGGGTAGTGCGCAGGCGTGGCGGGCCCCGCCCTACCCCGCGGCGGGAACGCTGGCGGTGGGCCTTCCAGGCGGGCGTGGAGCCGGCCCACGGCGCCTGCGCCGACGCGAGGTAGCCGGGCTGAGTTAGGTGCCAACCCTTTGGGTGCTGCGGTCCTGCGTCCAGGGTCTGAGTGGCGGGACGGTGGGCTCTCTCGGTAACCACAGCCTAACCCCTGCTGCTGGGGGGTCACGACGGGCTCGCTTGCCTCAGTGCTCAGCATGTTAAGGCCGCTGGTTGGTTTGTGCTTTGTCTGGCTAAGGCCCTTCGGAGGTCCCGGGGGCTCAGTGAGGCACCTAGTCTGCCCTCGCAGCAGCTTGGGCAAGGTCTCCGACGCCAGCCCCTTGACCATTTCCTTTCCAGGGAGTGTGACAGCTTTTCAGCTAGGTGCACCGAGTGTTTCAGAATCCCACGTGTTCAGGTGACCATGTGAGCCAAGGTAGGGAGCTGCAGGGCTGTGGTTCCCCACTGAACTCCAGAAACAGTTTTGCTGGTCAGCCTGTCATGAGTGTTCAGACCTACGTGGTAATAGCACTGTTGGGAGTTCTTAGAGGGAGTCTTGATAGACTAAAACACCAAAACATTGGTATTCAAATTGCAGCATTTTATGATTGTTTATAAAAAGCTTCCTTTAATCAGAGTGCTGTGTGGAATCTATATTCTAAATTTTAAGAGTTGATTTGCTTCCAAAAAACCTGTACCTTCAGGATCCTGTGAAATCTCTCAGGATGTTTTACAACAACAAAAAATAGTGACAAAAACAAAAACCTTGATCTTAATGACCATATTCGGTTAAATATGTTGGTGCTCAATTAAAGCAACCTTTTTCCTAGAAAACAGAATTTAGGTAGATCATTTAAAAACTGCATTCAAGGATTTTTTTTTTTTTTTTCTCAAGTGTCAATATATTCTTACTTGTCAGACTCTGGCAACACGAACCCAGAGAGCATTCTACTGAACCGCACAGTAATATATACATGCAGGTGGATGGAACAGAAATAATACTGATCTCGAGAACTTAATCATAAAAGAAGAGAAGTCATTCTCTGGCTTATTTCCCTTAACATAGTACTCTCCAGGTCTCTCCATACTATCTCAAAGGGTAAGAGATCCTTCTTTTTTACAGCTGCATAGTATTCCATTCTATAAATGTACCACATCTTTTTATCCCCTCATCTACTTATGGGCACTTGGGCTGTTTCCAAATCTTAGCTATTGTAAGTAGCACTGCTATGAACATAGAGGTGCATATAATTTTTCTGGTATTCTTAGGATATATTCCTAGAAAGCCAGTCAGAGAAAAAGGAGTATCAAAATGATCTCACTTATATGTGGAATATAATGAATAAAATAAACTGATGAACAAAATAGATCCAGAAACATGGAACAGACTGACCAATCTCAGAGGGAAGGGGGATGGAGAGAGAGATTAACCAAAAAAAACTTGGACACAGACAATAGTGAGGTAGATAGGGTAGGGGGGTAGATGGCATCAATGAGGGGGAAGGGGGGGCAGCTATAATACTTTACACAATGAGGATAATTTTTTAAATATTTTCTTAAGAAAGAAGTCAATGGAGAAATTACCAGAGGTGACTAGGTTATCTGAAATTACCTGCTGGGTTACAGGAGGGAGAGGAGAGGCCTGAGCTGCCCAAGTGTTGACACCATCAGTTCTCACTGGTCTATCCAGAAAAAAAGCCATTGATAAGCCTTGATCACTCCTGAACTTACCCTTGAGCTTTTCCAAGATTTATGGCCCAGATGCTTTTTAGGAGAGAAAAACAGCATTTCAGACTAAATCAAAATCAATCCTTTGTGGTATTATGCTCTTCTATTGTCTTATAATGTTGAAGTTGAATTTTTTTAAACTCTGCAGAACAAAATAAATTCAGAAAGCAGGTCAGTTTAATTGTCGATCTTAGAATAGTCCTCAAGGCAAACCTGATGGAGCATCTGTGACAAACTTGGCCTGAAAGAAGTCAGAGATTCGTAGTTGCTCGTTTTTTAGGTTTATCCTTTTAGAAATGAACAGAGATTGGTTTTAATATCATTATTGACCAGTGATTCTTGGCAAATGTAGCTATGTAGATGAAAATACAATTTTCAAAATGAAAATGCACAATTTTACAATACTTTTAAGTATCTTGAAATAAAAAGTAACGACTAGATAACCTTGGGCAGTCTAAGTAGGAATGCCTATCCCAAGATAACCTAACTTTGAAGCAAATGAATGGTAAACTGCAGAACGTTCAAAGATACAGCTAAAGAAAATTCCACCATTACCACTGGGCAATGATGAAAGCAGTACACAACCAAAAGTTCGCATATAGTAAGTTCGCATGTAGTAAAAAGGATCAGTGGCTGAGTAACGTTTAGATGATAAAAATTAAGGTGCAGTGTTATTTCACAAAGTATTAAAATTGTGCAATGATCAGAAGGAAGTGCATATAAGTCCAGTAAGATTAATTGTACAAGTACAAAATGGGAGAGACTTGCCAGATGAACTTTATCCCCAGCCCCCATCAAGGTAAATACCGCATACTATCAATCCATAAGTCTCACATCAATCTTTTTCTCTCTCCCTCTCCTCCCTCCCTCCCTCCCTTCTTCCACTCTCTCTAAAAATCAAAGGGGAAAAATATATCCTTGGGTAAGGATTAACAACAAAAAAGAATGTACTACTGATGCAAATTGTGAATGTCGAGAACATAATAAAAATTCAACACGAATGAGTATATACTACATGACTTACTGTGACATTCAGGATCCCACCTAAAGAATCAATGGAGACAGAAACCAGAAGCCTGGTTCTCTGCAAGGGTGAGGCAAGCAGAGAATTGATTGGGAAACAAGCATAAAAGAACTTTTTGAGGAGATGGAGACGCTATACGTCTTGATTGGGGGTTGAGATCTCACAGGGCTAAAGACTTATCAGAACTTATTCTGGCTGGTTTGGCTCAGTGGATAGAGCGTTGGCTTGTGGACTGAAGAGTCCCAGGTTTCATTCCAGTCAAGGGCACATGCCTGGGTTGCAGGCTCAGTCCCCAGTGTGGGGCATGCAGGAGGCAGCCAATCGGTGGTTCCCTGTCATTATTGATGTTTCTCTTCCTCTCCTTCTCTCAAATAAAAAATAAAAAATAAAAAAAACAAGCAAGGAAAAAACTAATTGAATTCAAGAGCTGTGCCTTTCACAAGGATGTTTTACCTCAAAAGAAAGATTGGAGGTCCCAATTTGGGGAGAGGGGTGGAAACTCTTGGTTCAAAACATAATTTTTAAGTTTAAAAGACAAAGGACTGGGGAAATAGCTTGCAACCTAATTCAGAGACTTAATCAAACGTCACAGGTAAAAGGGCTTTCAAAGCTGAGACTGAAGATGAACATTCCAGAAATGAGACAGGCAGAGACATGAACAGTAGACACAAAAGAAGAAATTCCCAATAGACATGACAAAACGTGCCACTCCCTAATAACAAGAGAAACACAATGCTTTATGCATTTGATACAAACCAATGAGAATAAACACAATTACATATGAACAGTGAGCGTCAACTGGTAGAAACTGTGAGCTAATCAAGACACAAAATCTTAAACTTTTGCATATTCTTTCATCAGTGATTTCACCTCTAGAGCTTTAGCCTAATGAAATACATATGGATGGTGATAAAGATTTAGCTAAAAGATTTACAGCAACAATGATTGGAACATATGTAAATATAGGCTTATGGAGATCTATCTTCAGGTTTCCAAAAATATGGGGTTTACTATCACAGAAAGAAATTCACGATATAGTTTTTGTGAAAAGGAAAACTATAAAACATCATTACAGTATAGTGCAGGGTTGTTTTTTTTTTTTATCAGTGGAAACATTTATAGACGGAGAAAACACAGAAAGATGTCCATCAGAATGTTCCAATGCTTTCTTCAGAATCTGTGGGAGATGGCAGGTTAATGTTCTCTTTTGCTCATCCCAGTCTTCTACATCTTCCAGTGAACATGTGTTACTTTTGTATTTTTATTTTTTTTAATTCTCCGAAAGGAGATGGGGTTCCCTGAGGACCCAGTAGGATGAGTAGCTGAGAGAAGCTGTAGGATCTT